AAATAAAATAAAATAGATGAAAAGAAAAGAGTATATGCCCAAAAATATATAAGTAATTTTCTTTTTTCCTTTTTTTAATAAGTAAAATAGTTCTTGTTAACCCATGGAAAATGCTAAACCTTGAATCCAACTCTGTTATCAAGACATGCATGCCAATCCGCCTTCATATCTTTCAAAGGAACTCGATCATGGGGACTGTTGAGAAGTAGAAATCGTCAAACATTCCTTAGAGGACAAGAAAACATAGTGTAATTAGGGCATTGTATACACAAAACAAAGATGGTTATAAAGCTTTTACCGCTTGGGTCCCGAAACACAGGGTTCAACATCTGATAGGTCCAACTGCAAGTAGGACGTGTATACTCTTTCCTCATCAGGCTGGATGAAGTAAAAGGTATCACTAAACAATTCCATCTCAAATAACTATGCAGTAACAATAATAGCGGAACCAAAGGAATTTACCTCATTGTAATCAACAAACATTCTGTTTGCGCGTAGGTATGCTTCTATCATTGCCACCTAATGTAACAACAAAAATAATAATAATCCATCACCTCTGGCTCCACCACTGGAGTACCATACCCATATGAAAACAAAAAAATGAGTGAAAAAGTTTCTCACTGTTTCATCACTTCTTCCGGTTAACTTAAGATACTCCAAAGTGACATGATCCACAGGAAAGAAACCCATGGTTGCTCCATATTCAGGCGACATGTTCGCAATAGTTGCCCTATCAGCTAATGATAGTTCACCCATACCCTCACCTATGTGTAAAACGAAGGAGTAAGGGACACGTGCTAGAACACATAGTAACTAAATTTCAATCCGACTTCTGAAGTTTTGTATTCCCAGGCTTACCATAAAACTCAACAAACTTGCCGACAACACCATGCTTCCTCAACATTTGAGTCACAGTTAATACCAAGTCAGTAGCTGTGACACCATCCCGCAGTTTTCCAGTCAACTTGAACCCAACAACACCAGGTAACACCATGCTCATGGGCTGTTTGATTCGAAAATCATGTCATTAAGTGCAGATCAAAAATATTGATATTAAGATTATTGGTGCATATGAGCCACATGGCAAGATCAGAAAACAGAAATCGGATCAATATCCATCAGAAACAAGAATGTCTCAAAATAGGCTATAGCTGCTGACTCTATAATGCACCTACTTATGGATTGAGCAAATAAAATCCATGCACGTTTTATCAGAACAAGTGGGGAGCTACAATCTAAAAGATTATTTACAATGAAACAAGACAGAAGCAGTAAGAAATAAAATCCTAGAAAGAAGAGAAAGAAACACTACAATGTTGGCATTTTGCCGAAGTTGCAGTTCCTAAGTAATGACTGTCAACATTCAAGGGAACAATTTCTGCAGTAACCCATTCACATGACTGCTTCTCAAGAAAGTGCTTACGATGTTGATTCAATTAACTATTCTAGCAAAGCTTAAAAAAGACGCAATGAATACCTGACCAAGCATTGCTGCCTCTGCTTCTATTCCTCCAACTCCCCATCCAGCAACTCCTAACCCATCAATCATTGTTGTGTGGGAATCGGTACCAACCACACTGTCGGGGTAGAGAAGGCCGTCCGTATTAAAAACAACCCTCCCAAGGTATTCCAGGTTAACCTACAAAGTAATCGAAAGACAAACTCAATATTCACATCCATAACTAATACTGCAATCAGGAGAAAGTTACATTTATCTGAAATATCAGCTCATGAAATATTTACAATTGGAATATAAACAAAGCACGACCTACCTACCCTGAAAAGAAGGTTAAGGAAAGAATTTGGTTTGCCAGAAAGTTTGGCACATTAGTGTATTGGATGAGAACTTTTCAAAATGACTGCCTTTAGCCTAAGATGAATTTCTATCACTTTGTCACTCCCTAGAGCATTTTGCACTTATGTGATATACACATATTATAGTATTATGTGAATTTGTTGTAACCCTACCTGATGTACAATTCCCGAACCAGGAGGAACAACAAGCATGTTATGAAAAGCAGACGATCCCCATTTAAGGAAAGCGAATCTCTCTTTATTCCTATGAAATTCAAGCTCCATATTAGCCTGTATTGCGTTTTCAGACCTTGCTACATCAACTTGAACAGAATGATCAATTACAAGATCCACAGGAACCTGAAAGAAAACATATTACATTCAAAATTCAAGAGTGGTATACTTTTATAAACGTAAATCATCACGTATTATTCTACCAAAAAATCAACAACGAAAGCACTTTTTCACTCTTTCATATATTAGGGGATTTCACTTGGAAAAGAAAATGTTCCCTACTAATGGATTTGAGTCCATAACTATGGGTTCCAATGTCAAAAACAATGACGCATAAACAGACATGACGCGTAACAATAAAAAACGGGGGAAAAAAAAAACTCAGATATTCCATGTTGAGGCAAAAAAGGGGAAAAAAATACAAACCAAAGGATTGATCTTCTTAGGATCACTGCCAAGTTTCTTCATAGCATCCCTCATGCAGGCAAGATCAACCACAGCTGGTACCCCAGTAAAATCCTGGTCAAGAAATGAAAAGTTTAAAACAAAGTGTTCGTTTTTTCATTCCAAAACCATTAGTACTAACACTATTAGAAAATCAAACAAAAAACCTGCAGAAGAACACGAGCAGGCTTGAAAGGAATTTCCACTAGCTTCGGTGATGTATTTTCCCAATCAATGATCTTTTCAACATCCTCGTTAGTAACTTCGAAATTATCACAATTACGAATTGCGGATTCCAAAAGTATCCGTATAGAGTACGGAAGCCTCCCTACCAAGGCAAGAAATATATTTGAATTTGAATTCTAAAAAATAATGAAAAATAAAAAATCATAACAAATGTCAAAAACTTTTCTCATT